GGGTTGCCTCCTCGCCCGGCGCGTCCCTCGCAGGTGGTGGCGCTGCATGCCGCAGGCAGAGGCGATGGAGGTGGTGAGAGCACGGCTCACACAGGCGGCCTGATGTGGGTGGCGCAGCGTGGTGTCCGGGATCAAAGCTTTCAGCACCGCACGCGGTGAAGGCGCGGCGCAGCGTGGCGAGGTCAGAGCGACTGGGGGGAGGCCAGTTCTGTGACGGAGGCGCGTAGCCTGGCCTCTCCTCTTGCGCCGTCCACCGCTTGACGAGTTGCCGAGTGGTATGCTCATCCGGCGGCGGCGGGTCGGCGCTGCCGAGCGTCAGGATCACCTCTGTCTGCGGCGGGCTGTAGAGCGCGTCGTCGCGGTGCCAACCCATGCTGGCGCCGGCACCATACTGCCGCAACTCTGCCGGAAAGTCGGACGGCTCGAGCCGCGGCACGCCGGTGAGCGCGGCGATCCGGCTCGCAACCGCTTCGCTCATCAGCATCGCGTGTGTGTGGGATCGGCGGTCGAGACACAGGCCCATCCGCCGCAGCGCAATCGAGTCCTTCTCTGCGCGCATGCCGCCTCGCAGGGTGCGGCACTCACGCCGGATAGCCTCAAAGTCGGCCGGCGAGAGGAAGCGCTCGCGGTATAGCACACCGCCGTTTGAGACAAACGCGGTAGGCGCCGAGTGAGCGACCAGCGCGAGCACGGCGAGGAGCATTGTGCTTCAAGCTGTTCCGCGCCACTCCTTTGACGAGGCCCTTCTGCCTCTTCGCGGGAAGCCGCTCGTGCACGGAAAGAATTCTTACGACGCACGGAAAGAAACGCGGGCGCGGGCTGCTACTGCTATTAGGCCCGTGATTCAAACAGCGCCTGAACGCATGGCGTTCAGGCGGCACTTCTCTCGCGTCGGCTCCGCCGAGCGCTGCACAGAGACCATCTTCACTGACCACCAACGACAGCTGTACGAAGCGCCGTACTCGGTCTCCTTCACCGCGACGCAGAGCGGCGACGTCATCGTACAGCTGCACCCGCACTCGCAGCTCGAGCGCGCGGTGCGCCACGAGCGGCAGGCGCAGGCCACGGAGGCGCCTGCGAGCGCGAGCCCTGCGGCGCCGCCCGCCCCTGCCGCCGCGCCGCCAGCCGCGGAGCCGGCGCCCAAGACGTACGCCGCCGCAGCCGCATCGCAGCCGCAGGGTGCCACCGCGGGTGGCCAGCCCGCCGCGCCTGCGGGCCCGGCCGCCGCCGCGAGCGTGCCGCCGCCGCCCGCGGCGGCGGCGGAGTGCGCGGCTGCTCCTTCACTGTCCCTAACCCGGGCAGGAAGCGTGGGCAGCAGCAGCGCGGCAAGGGCCGCGGTGCCAGGGGCCGTGCCGATGCTGGACCCCGTCTCGTTGACAAGAACGCGCTGTCCGCGCGCGGCAGCGGGCCCTCGCGCCAGTCGCGCTCGCCGTCGCCCGACTCTCCGCCCGCCAAGCGGGCCGCCTCCGCTGACTCGTCCGGCTATGAAACCGATACGCCGGACGAGGTGCAGCAGGAGGCGGTCCGCAGGGTATGCGGCGCGCTCGGCATGAGGGAGCAGTTCGAGGCGGCGATGGCGGCGGGAGAGCTGCTCGAGATGCTCGAGAGCTTGCCGCGAGGGGCGGTCGAGGCCTCCGTTCGGCTGATGCGCGGTTACAACCGCACGGGCGAGTGGCCAGAGCCCATCCTCACCAGCCCTGCCCCGCAGCGCGGCCGCTCGCCAAGCCCCGTCGATGAGTGGTCAGATGGTTAGTGCCCGAGAGCGAGGGGTCCGGGGGGGAGCACAAACATAGGACGCCCAGCCTTGCCCTCGTGCCGCCGAGTGCATATCCTATGCGAGAGAGATCCCCTGTGCCCTGTGCCCAGCCCTCTCCGCGCGGCGATGCGCCCTCCCCCCTCGCTTTTGCAAAATCCTGCAAAGGTGGGGACGTGTCTGTCCTCGACCCAGCCCTAGCTTGGGATGTCCGTTGTATTTATTTATTATTAGGCCCGTGATCGTCCTTCCAAAATCCTGCTCGTGCAGGTGGGTGGGGACCCTGTCCTCGTCCCATCCCTCGTTTGGCGTGTCTGTTTTCTTTCTTTCTTTCTTTTAGGCCCGTGATAGCTGAGAAGGAGACTCACATCGGGCAAAACCGCGACGCACAAGTGGCTGCTCGCTCTCTTCACTGCGCTCTGCGGCCCCCCAGGGCAATCCTCGTTCGCCCGCAGACGGACACCCCAGTCCACACCAGTCTGCCTTCGAACCGACCCGGCTGCCTTGCCCGCCAGACTCGGATCGCATAGTGCACAAGAAGGCCCTCGCTTCTGGTTGACATCGAGACCACGGCGCGCTCGAGAAAGCGCCCGGCCCACACCTTCGCTCCCCAGCCAACTCGAACGCCCGCGCCTCTCAGCACGGCGCGCCGCCGCCCGGCCTCTAGCACGGGCCGCCCTGAGCTTGACCGTCTCTCTACAGCTCTCCCTAGTCGAGGTCCGCCGCGATCGCCAGCGACACTTTTGGCTTCTCGGGTGAAGCGACATTTTGGGCGCCAATCGAGGCGGAAGACATGGCCTTCTCGATGAGAGCGCCCGCCGTCGGCGGAGGCGCGGCTTCCACCTTGGCCGGCGAGGAGGGCTGGGTCGGCGCCGCCGACGCCGGGTGTGGCTTGTCGAGCGCTTCGATGACCGGCGAGAGCGCGCCCGAAGCGAAAGTTGCCATCTGGGGCGACGCTGTGGCGGCAGTGGCGGCGAGGACGGTGACGACAGCCTTCCAACCGCCCGCAGCGTGGACCTGGCTGTAGTCGCCACCGACGAGTCCCGCGAGT